TGTGTCTTAATCTCACCTCTGAGTTCAGTTTACCTCTGAGTTCAGTTTACCTCTGAGTCTTCATGACACATGTGACTTTGCTTTCATTTTTTAAATTAAACTTTGTAATGGTAAAAATGTTTTTTGAAAACATTGTTTAATGCTAGTAAAGTAAAAAAAAAAATATATTGATACTGTAAGATTTAATAACTATTCATTAAAAATTAAAATAATTATGTTACTCGAAAAGGTCCTTAAACTTGTTGCTTAAATTTCATTTTTCTTCCTGTTTTTACTTCCACCAACTTTACCATTTTATTTTCCCCTCATAACACGAGAACACCTCGTCCGATCGGCATCAAACTTTCAACACTGGTGTATGGTAGCTCGAGGAAGCTTCATGCAACAACTGGCGTGTGCAGATACCCTATAACTACATATATAATACTCATTCCCGGGATCCCAGGCTGGATCAGATAACTGTCAAAAGCCTCGGCTGCTCGACTTCAAGTGTTCACAACAGACGTCACTTAATTTGACGATGACGGAGAATTAAATAAACTTGTGTAAAATAATATGAAATTTTTAGTCCTGTTAAACGTGTCCTGGTATCATTGTTTTAATGTGTCCTGGTAACATTGTTTCAATGTGTCCTGGTATCATTGTCTCAATGTGTCCTGGTATCATTGTTTCAATGTGTCCTGGTAACATTGTTTCAATGTGTCCTGGTATCATTGTTTCAATGTGTCCTGGTATCATTGTTTCAATGTGTCCTGGTATCATTGTTTCAATGTGTCCTGGTATCATTGTTTCAATGTGCCCTGGTATCATTGTTTCAATGTGCCCTGGTATCATTGTTTCAATGTGTCCTGGTATCATTGTTTCAATGTGTCCTGGTAACATTGTTTCAATGTGTCCTGGTAACATTGTTTCAATGTGTCCTGGTATCATTGTTTTGAAGTGTCCTGGTATCATTGTTTCAATGTGTCCTGGTATCATTGTTTTGAAGTGTCCTGGTATCATTGTTTCAATGTGTCCTGGTATCATTGTTTTGAAGTGTCCTGGTATCATTGTTTCAATGTGTCCTGGTAACATTGTTTCAATGTGTCCTGGTATCATTTTTTTCAATGTGTCCTGGTATCATTGTTTCATTGTGTCCTGGTATCATTGTTTCAATGTGTCCTGGTATCATTGTTTCAATGTGTCCTGGTAACATTGTTTCAATGTGTCCTGGTATCATTGTTTCAATGTGTCCTGATATCATTGTTTCAATGTGTCCTGGTATCATTGTTTCAATGTGTCCTGGTATCATTGTTTCAATGTGTCCTGGTATCATTGTTTCAATGTGTCCTGGTAACATTGTTTCAATGTGTCCTGGTATCATTGTTTTGAAGTGTCCTGGTATCATTGTTTCAATGTGTCCTGGTATCATTTTTTTCAATGTTCCTGGTAACATTGTTTCAATGTGTCTGGTATCATTGTTTCAATGTGTCCTGGTATCATTGTTTCAATGTGTCCTGGTAACATTGTTTCAATGTGTCCTGGTATCATTGTTTTGAAGTGTCCTGGTATCATTGTTTCAATGTGTCCTGGTATCATTGTTTTGAAGTGTCCTGGTATCATTGTTTCAATGTGTCCTGGTATCATTGTTTCAATGTGTCCTGGTAACATTGTTTCAATGTGTCCTGGTATCATTGTTTCAATGTGTCCTGGTATCATTGTTTCAATGTGTCCTGGTAACATTGTTTCAATGTGTCCTGGTATCATTGTTTCAATGTGTCCTGGTATCATTGTTTCAATGTGTCCTGGTATCATTGTTTCAATGTGTCCTGGTATCATTGTTTCAATGTGTCCTGGTATCATTGTTTCAATGTGTCCTGGTATCATTGTTTCAATGTGTCCTGGTATCATTGTTTCAATGTGTCCTGGTATCATTGTTTCAATGTGTCCTGGTAACATTGTTTCAATGTGTCCTGGTAACATTGTTTCAATGTGTCCTGGTATCATTGTTTTGAAGTGTCCTGGTATCATTGTTTCAATGTGTCCTGGTATCATTGTTTTGAAGTGTCCTGGTATCATTGTTTCAATGTGTCCTGGTAACATTGTTTCAATGTGTCCTGGTAACATTGTTTCAATGTGTCCTGGTATCATTGTTTCAATGTGTCCTGGTATCATTGTTTCATTGTGTCCTGGTATCATTGCTTCAATGTGTCCTGGTATCATTGCTTCAATGTGTCCTGGTATCATTGCTTCAGTGTGTCCTGGTATCATTGCTTCAATGTGTCCTGGTATCATTGTTTCAATGTGTCCTGGTATCATTGTTTCAATGTGACCTGGTATCATTGCTTCAATGTGTCCTGGTAACATTGTTTCAATGTGTCCTGGTAACATTGTTTCAATGTGTCCTGGTAACATTGTTTCAATGTGTCCTGGTAACATTGTTTCAATGTGTCCTGGTATCATTGTTTCAAAGTGTCCTGGTAACATTGTTTCAATGTGTCCTGGTATCATTGTTTCAAAGTGTCCTGGTAACATTGTTTCAATGTGTCCTGGTAACATTGTTTCAATGTGTCCTGGTATCATTGTTTCAATGTGTCTTGGTATCATTGTTTCATTGTGTCCTGGTGTCATTGCTTCAGTGTGTCCTGGTATCATTGCTTCAATGTGTCATGGTATCATTGCTTCAATGTGTCCTGGTATCATTGCTTCAATGTGTCCTGGTATCATTGTTTCCATGTGTCCTGGTATCATTGTTTCAATGTGACCTGGTATCATTGCTTCAATGTGTCCTGGTATCATTGCTTCAATGTGTCCTGGTAACATTGTTTCAATGTGTCCTGGCATCATTGCTTCAATGTGTCCTGGTATCATTGTTTCAATGTGTCCTGGTATCATTGTTTCAATGTGTCCTGGTTTCCCTGTTTTAATGTGTCCTGGCATCATTGTTTCAGTGTGTCCTGGTATCATTGTTTCAATGTGTCCTGGTTTCCCTGTTTTAATGTGTCCTGGTATCATTGTTTCAGTGTGTCCTGGTATGATTGTTTCAGTGAGTCCTGGTATCATTGTTTGAGTGTGCCCTGGTATAATTGTTTCAGTGTGTCCTGGTATCATTGTTTCTGTGTGTCCTGGTATTATTGTTTCAGTGTGTCCTGGTATCACTGTTTCAGTGTGTACTGGTGTCCTTGTTTCAGTGTCTCCTGGTATCATTGTTTTAGTGTGTCCTGGAATCCTTGTCTCAGTGTTTCCTGGTATCATTGATTCAGCGTGTTCTCTTATCCTTGTTTCAGTGTGTCCTGGTATCCTTGTTTCAGTTTGTCATGGTATCATTGTTTCAGTGTGTCCTGATATCAATGTTTCAGTGTGTCCTGGTATCATTGTTTCAGTGTGTCACGGTATCAATATTTCAGTGTGTCCTGGTATTATTGTTTCAGTGTGTCCTGGTATCCTTGTTTCATATGTCCTGGTATTGCTTTTTTCAGCGTGTCCTGGTATCATTGTTTGTGTCCTAATATCGTTGCTTCAGCTTGTCCTGGTATCATTGTTTCAGTGTCATGGTATCATTGTTTCAGTGTGTACTGGTATCATTGTTTCAGTGTCACGGTATCATTGTTTCAGTGTGTCCTGATATCAATGTTTCAGTGTGTCCTGGTATCATTGTTTCAGTGTGTCCTGGTATCATTGTTCCAGTGTGTCATGGTATCATTGTTCCAGTGTGTCCTGGTATCATTGTTTCAGTGTGTCACGGTATCATTGTTTCAGTGTCATGGTATCATTGTTTCAGTGTGTACTGGTATCATTGTTTCAGTGTCATGGTATCATTGTTTCAGTGTGTACTGGTATCATTGTTTCAGTGTCACGGTATCATTGTTTCAGTGTGTCCTGATATCAATGTTTCAGTGTGTCCTGGTATCATTGTTTCAGTGTGTCCTGGTATCATTGTTCCAGTGTGTCATGGTATCATTGTTCCAGTGTGTCCTGGTATCATTGTTTCAGTGTGTCACGGTATCATTGTTTCAGTGTGTCATGGTATCATTGTTTCAGTGAGACATGGTATCATTGTTTCAATGTGTCATGGTATCATTATTTCAGTGTGTCCTGGTATCATTGTTTCAGTGTGTCATGGTATCATTATTTCAGTGTGTCCTGGTATTATTGTTTCAGTGTGTCCTGGTATCCTTGTTTCATATGTCCTGGTATTGCTTTTTTCAGTGTGTCCTGGTATCATTGTTTCAGTGTGTAATGGTATCATTGTTCCAGTGCGTCCTGGCATCATTGCTTCAGTGTGTCATGGTATCATCGTTTCAGTGTGTCCTTGTATAATTGTTTCAGTGAGTCCTGGTATCATTGCTTGAGTGTGTTCTGGAATCATTGTTCCAGTGTGTCCTGGCATCATTGTTTCAGTGTGTCCTGGCATCATTGTTTCAGTGTGTCATGGTATCATTGTTTCAGTGTGTCCTGGTATCATTGTTTCAGTGAGTCCTGGTATCATTGTTTCAGTGTGTCCTGGTATCACTGTTTCCACCATATGAACAGCACTTTGATTCAGTCTTAATATTGATTCACTTGTCATTATACTTCTAATTTCGAAACTCTGGAGCTAAACTCTCCTCCAGGCTGAGGGACTGACCACCTCATAACCACGTCTTCAAGGGGCTGCTGGACTGATTATATCGTCTTTAAATCCCTGCTGCTTCTGCTGCCTCCTCTGTATTCCACTAAAGAAGCTTTTCGGAATAGAGATATCTAACTTCTGTACAGGTCTTACTTATCAACTTGCGAATATTGTGTTCCACTATCATAGTTAGACTTCCAGTGATCAGTTAATGACTGAATTTCGACAAATTAGGTAGCATAACTCTAGATATTCAAAGCAAAATTACCATTCCATAAGCACATGGTTATGCAGTCTTATGTACAATAGGATATGCAAAGGCTATTCAATTTATGAAGATAGAGGAAAAACACTGCAGAAGGCCTACTGGCCCATACTAGGCATGTCCGTATTAAACAAGGGTCATAAATAGTTTTTAATTGGTATTTTTATTAAAAATAGGAAAATCACTCATATATATAGCTTGTTAGGTAAAAAGACGCAACTGTAACTAATGTGATATTTATTTGTGGCAACGTTTCGCTTGATAAAGCTACTGGAGAGCGAAACATTGCCATAATAAAATGTCACATAGTTTCACTTGCGTTCAACCTAACATATTGTCGGTAATTCTATCAACATTAATACATGTATAGCCAGTTACAAACTTTTAAAGGCCAATTGAAATATCACAATATTACATTTATCAGAGACAAACACAGACTTCTGGGTCACCTAAATTATGCAAAGATGTCGATCAAAGCCTCGACGTCTTCCTACAGCATTAGTAAGTTTATTCAGATATACACAAATACAGTTACATAGATTATCATACATAGCAGCATATACGTAGAGAACCTGGGATAACACAGATAATCAAAGTGAATTATTTTAATTGTGGGCCTTTATTTTTAACTGTTCAATTTCTATGCATAGCATCCAGTTTCATGAACTATTGTCTTATATCTGTAAGTTAAAAGCCACAACTAAATATAACAGATTTTATTGATAAATGATAACAATCCATTAAAATATTTAGGAACTTAAAAGAAATGTTAAGACTAAGAAAATAATTGATAACAGAATATTATTTATCTACGTCTAAGATATTAAAACATTGCTAACATAGAGAACAATATGGAAATGACTACATATTTCAATATAATTAGTTAGACTTGGCTATATATATATATATATATATATATATATATATATATATATATATATATATATATATATATATATATATATATTATATATATATATATATATATATATATAACATCATCTCAACGTCCACAACAACACACGAACCAGCTGGCCCCGTGTTAAACCACGGGGCCAGCTGGCTCCTTGGTAACGTACTGTGGACTCTGATACAGAGTTTGCAGGTTCGAGTCCTGCTGTGGACGTAGAGGCAATGTTTGTAAACAATTTCGCCTGTTTGCGAATTTATCTTCACGTCTCTTATACAAGAGGATAGGAAGCAGCAGTAGCAATGCCACACTGGTTATTATGATTGCGAATCATCTTTAAGTAGCCTATATCACCCCATGTGGCGCCCCAGGAGTTCTTGACCAGCCAGTAGTCAGTGCCATCCTCAGTAGTGCCATAACCAACAACCAGAACACCGTGGTCCAGCTGCTTTGGGTTGCAGTCTGGTTCGTTATAAACACCTGTGAAGTAATTCAACTTAACATTACTCTCACCCATTTACAAAGCAAATATTTACACTCAACATTGTCAGAATTCTTAAACATTGAAGCACTGGCATATTACATTTACATTATAATTCGTTTTTCTGATGTAACTACCACAACACTGTGACTTAAGTAAGAAACACATTAATGCCCGCATTACTTTACTTATTAATTAATGAAATTTGTTGAACTTAAATTAGTTAAGCTCCTGCGACATGTCAGGCGTAAGAGAAAAAATAAAGTCTTCCTGTCTTTTCCTCATTAAACAAGATATTACAAAAATACAAATTTAACTATATAATCTATGTACGTGATTATTAACGAACATCCATTCAATATACATGATAATCATCTACAAGTTTATAAACGATACATTAAAGGAGAAATGGGCAGTTTCTTAGAGCTCATTACGGTGAGAACAAAGCCTTTTAAAATATTGAGAAAACTGTGACATTATAAAAGACATCCCACAAATTTCTTCATAAATTATTTTTCAAATCTCCCAGTAGAGCTAAAAATCAGTATCGTATTTTTCTGGGAAATGTTTGTCCCCAGTACAGAGTTCAGATCCCCTTCAAACACTAGAGAAAAATGCAATACTGATGGGAACTGGGAAGTGAATGTAATTCTACAGCATAAGATCGGAGAGTAACTTCGATCCTATATGTTTGAGCGTCGTGTCACTTATACCGTTTCTATTATTATGGTTGTCTGCTAATAAACATTTGTGGTACCTCGGTTTTCTGATTCTCCTTCAAATACAACGAATACTATTAAAAAGACAGATTGCATCGAACTCACAAACTGAATATTAAAGATGGTTGACGGAGAAGCCAAAACCTTATCTAGATTTTATTTCCGTCTGTAAATACTCATCTGGCAGGCCACCATCACCTATTATCTTGTTCAGCAAATAATTTCTCTTCTTTCCTGCACATCTTAACGTGTGCCTCACATTCTTGTGAATATTTTAGGATTTAAACTTGTCCAGAGGGCTGAGGAAGGGCTGTTGAGGTGGTTCGGGCTGTATAGTCCTTGTGGCTTAGCGCTTCTTTTTGATTATAATAATAATGAGGTGGTTCGGACATGTAGAGAGAATGGAGCGAAACAGAGTGACTTCAAGAGTGTATCAGTCTGTAGTGGAAGGAAGGCGGGGTAGGGGTCGGCCTAGGAAAGGTTGGAGGGAGGGGGTAAAGGAGGTTTTGTGTGCGAGGGGCTTAGACTTCCAGCAGGCGTGCGTGAGCGTGTTTGATAGGAGTGAATGGAGACAAATGGTTTTTAATACTTGACGTGCTGTTGGAGTGTGAGCAAAGTAACATTTATGAAGGGGTTCAGGGAAACCGGCAGGCCGGACTTGAGTCCTGGAGATGGGAAGTACAGTGCCTGCACTCTGAAGGAGGGGTGTTAATGTTGCAGTTTAAAAACTGTAGTGTAAAGCACCCTTCTGGCAAGACAGTGATGGAGTGAATGATGGTGAAAGTTTTTCTTTTTCGGGCCACCCTGCCTTGGTGGGAATCGGCCAGTGTGATAATAAAATAGATAATAAAATTAAACTTGATACTTATTCCAAGAATTTAGAACACTACAACATCACTTCATAATTGACTGTGACATGACTCAACTGCCAGTCCCACAGTCTCTCCGTTAAGTATATGCCTTAATTAACGCAAACTTATGTACCTACGGTCAATATTAGTTATAATTCAGTAATACACTTCTCTGGTATTCTTAATATATTTATTGCCCTGCAACTCTTGTTTGGTTTTTTCCCTTTACATTTTTTCTCACTTATTAAACAGCTGTACATACCGTTGGAACTCTTTACTCTTACCGTTATAGCATTAAGTCTTAATCCACCTCTGCTATTATTCCCTCTTTTAGCACCAACTCAGTCTTTATTACCCTTAGTTTCCTCATTTTTTTTATTATTCTCAGGAAAATGTTTGACGGAACTTTCGCCATTCTTTCATTTGTCCCTATTTTTAATACTTAATGTAGTATTTCTTCTTACATTGCATACCTTTCTTGCAACATTCTTACCTTGTAAATTGCGTTTGTTTGACAATTTCTCATCTTTTACCACGAAGTGAAAACTTACCACTACTGTAAAGTTGGAATGAATCACTCGAAGCATCAATGCCAACAGAAATAGGTCCAAGAAGAGCAACAGCTTTCTTCAAGTCATCTTCACTTCCCTCACGAATGTCAACAAAGCCGACATCTTGAGCGCCAGATTCACTAGGGTTATAGCGGCACTTTTGGTTCTAAGAAGAAAAAAAAATAATTGTAAATGTATCCTTTTACATCTTTTGTACATTACAAAAATGATCAGTTCAAAGATGTACTAAAGATATTAAGTAAAAAAATTATGGTTGACATGTCAGGCATAGATTAAATTCCTCTCAAAATAGATTCATTTTAAATGAATCTAATTTATATAGCCCTGAACTAATATTCATATTGAAATCAGTACCTTTTTTATGAAACGATTCGACAAAACAGGATGTTTCAAAACGTAAGACCCCATTTCAATGATAGTTGAATTTCAAATCGGGTCCATCATTTTGAATCATCCGGTATGTCAACCATGAACCTGCTTCTCCTACTTGACAATGCCCTTGAAATCATTCATCAAAATGCTCAGTTGTGCATTTAAAAAGAAAATAATATTATTTTTTGTGGAATTAATAATTATACCCTGAGTTCACAGTATTGTGATAAGAGACTTGGGAATTTGTGAGCATGGCGAAGAAATATTGTCCTTATGCTGTCGACAGTGCCAAAGAATACTAACTTGTCGCAAGAAACATCATTAAACCCATGACTTAAACGATCTAGTTGGTATGATTTTGTATACTCAGTAGCCTAGTTGTAACGTGTGACTTCACAGGGTAAACATCGGCCATATTGGCTGTCAAACGCGTGTTTGCAACACATCAGTGACACTGTTTACCTCTCGCAAGTCGCAACAAAAATGAATTGTTGAGGTGCCTGACACACACACACACACACACACACACACACACACACACACACACACACACATACATTCATTCATACATACATACGTTCATACATACGTACATATTGGGAAATTGAGTCTAAATGATTCATATTAATCAACATATCTGGTCATTAAGATGCTATTTGATGTTTCACATTCAAATTAATAACGCGACTAATTACTCACCACTAACCCACACTCAGAGGGGAAACACTGAACTGCATTTCCATCCATCCTGGAGCATCAACACCATGTAAGTTATCTACAAATTGTACCAACTACGTGAATTGTAACTATCATTCTCCTATGGTATATATAAACTGTCTCGTTATTACCTTGGCCTCGTACGGATATGCTCCCTCAGTGTCAATTCCACCATTTTCCTTAATGTACTGGAAAGCGTAGTCCATAAATCCACCATCACAGCCACCATTACCATACTTGGCTGAGCAATCAATCAGGTTCTGCTCAGAGAGGCTTACTAGTTGACCAGTCTTGCGGAAGTGTTGACCTTCCAGCGATCCAGTCTGTCCAGAATGTAAATATAATATCTTTATTTACTACCAGTACATGTACAAGGTATACAGACCATAGCTGACATCAGTGACATACTACTATATAGAAAGCCGCTTGTTATGTTACGCTAGTTGTTATAAAACTGAATAATTCTGGATACTAAACTAACTTTGTAGACAAATGGTTCAGAAAACCGACAAGTTAGAAAATTAGGGGGAGGAGTTTGAGGTAATCAATCCCATCGTGTAAACGTAATATTATTTCAAGTCTTTAGATGGAAAGGAATAAATATCATTATAAAAAATATTAATTAAGGATGATAATATCTGTACGTAACTTACAGATATTGTCATTCTTATCTAGATTAAATATTTAGTGTAAAGCATTTATCTGAATAAGGTTAGCTCGTAATTAATAATGCACTGTGTTGTATTTCAAAGAATCTCATCCTGTAACTTAATTATCGTCCTGTAACTTATACAGTACAGCAATGATCACATTTTCCATTTCTACTCTCAGTAAACTGAGAATTTCACAATGTGTGTATGAAAGTAACAGAAATGATCATTTCACTTAAGGTATTGTGGAAAAATGTTATCCCCACAAACCATGGAGCGGGAAGGGTTTGAACCCATGGTGGGCGAGTCTTAAAACTCACAGGCCAGTGCGTTAACCACTTTACTGGTGAACCCAGAATACTGGCGACTTCTATAAGAGCGACATTGTTTGGAGTCATCAGTAAAGCGTATGATCAATCAGATTTACATCCGAAGGTCTTACCAAGTGGTGGACTAGACGGTAATATGACTATTGAGTGAATTCGTAGTCGTGAATTCGAATATTAGGTACACTTTCAGACTGACAGCTGAGCAGAAGCTCAGGGAGGACAGTAGGATATAGGCGATACACTTCCAGGCTGACAGCTAAGCAGAAGCTTAGGGAGGACAGTAGGATATAGGCGGCTACACTAAGTTATAAGTTAGTTAACATTAATTTCGGGCCTGGTGACCCGGTGGTCTGGTGGCTAAAGCTCCCGCTTCACACACGGAGTTCGATTCCCGGCGGGTGGAAACATTTGACACGTTTCCTTACACCTGTTGTCCTGTTCACCTAGCAGCAAATAGGTACCTGGGTGTTAGTCGACTGGTGTGGGTCGCATCCTGGGGGACAAGATTAAGGACCCCAATGGAAATAAGTTAGACAGTCCTCGATGACGCACTGACTTTCTTGGGTTATCCTGGGTGGCTAACCCTCCGGGGTTAAAAATCCGAACGAAATCTTATCTTATCTCTCTTAGGATGAATATCACTGGCTTCAGTTAATTAAGATAACATGTCAAAAATGTTATATATAAATATATAATATATATATACATATATATATCTTACATAGACTTCAGTTGAAATTAATGTAAAACTAAGATAGTGTTAGGAGTCACTCAGAGTCAAATTTTCTTATCTACCAAAGTGAACGATCATTTTCCTCTGTGCAAATATTAAAAGCGATCAACTTGCACACTCTTTAATCCAAAACACATTTTCTTATTCAATATCAGTTACTATGAAACCAGGACTGTTGCCTCTAGCAAAGCCAAATACACGGAACCCAAAAAACTAATAATGTAATAAAGCTATTCAATACCCACAAGTAGATGAGTAAGACACATTGATCAGTACAGATGTGACTAAATACGGAGACAGAAGCAGCAGGTGTGAGGTCAAGATAATGTTATCAGTCCTTAATGACTGTTGGACTGATCACATCATCTTTCCCACCGCCTCTGTTGTCTGCATATTTACTGTAGTTACTTCTGTAAGTAACTACTGTAAATATGCCTGTCACACCGCTTCTTAGAGGCGACAGTCCTGGTTTTATGGTAATAGATATTGAATAGGAAAAATTGCTTTGAATTATTAAGTGTGAAAGTTGGTCGGTTTTAAAATCTGCACAGAGGGAAATGATTATTCACTTGGATACAAAAATTTAACTCTGAATGGCACTTAATACTATCTTAATGTTTAAATAGTGAGATCGAGTTTTTCATTCATTTCGTGAATTGGGACTACGCTTGGATTCTGTACTAAGCCGCGCAACACCTTCACCGTCACTAGTCTGTACATCATGTAGTTATCTAATATGTCAGATGTTCAGCAGGAATATTACACAAGACACAAACTTGCTTCAAATCGCTTGTTTTCTCTAGGCTGGAATACTGCTGTACACTAACTGCCCCCTTCAAGGCTGGCGAAATTGCTGACCTAGAGAGTGTACAAAGAACTTCCACGGCACACGTAAGTGTGATAAGGCACCTAAACTACTGGGAACGGTTGAAGGCCCTTAATCTGTATTCCCTGGAACACAGGCGAAAGAGAGATACATGATAATATTCACATGGAAAATACTACAGGGTTTAGTACCAAACTTCCACACGAATATCACTCCCAATGAAAGCAAAAGACTCGGCAGACGATGCAATATTGCCCCAGTTAACAGCAGGGGCGCCACGAGTACACTGAGAGACAATAAATTTCAGGGGCCCAAGACTGTTCGACTGCCTCCCAGCATGCATAAGGGAAATTACCAATAGACCCCTGACTGTCTTCAAGAAGGCACTGAACAGTGGCCCGGTGGCCTGGTGGCTAAAGCTCCCGCTTCACACACGGAGGGCCCGGGTTCGATTCCCGGCGGGTGGAAATTCCGACACGTTTCCTTACACCTATTGTCCTGTTCACCTAGCAGCAAATAGGTACCTGGGTGTTAGTCGACTGGTGTGGGTCGCATCCTGGGGGACAAGATTAAGGACCCCAATGGAAATAAGTTAGACAGTCCTCGATGACGCACTGACTTTCTTGGGTTATCCTGGGTGGCTAACCCTCCGGGGTTAAAAATCCGAACGAAATCTTATCTTATCTTATCTTATCTTACCTAAAGTCAGTACCTGACCAACCGGACTGTGATTCGTACGTCAGTTTGCGTGCGGCCAGCAGTAACAGCCTGGTTGATCAGACCCTGACCCACCATAAGGCCTGGTCTCAGACTGAGCCGCGGGGGCGTTGACCCCCGAAACCCTCTACAGGTATACTCCAGGTAATCAAGCAACAGTATCAATAGTCTTCAGTGATTTTTGTCTCCCAAAGTAATGATTTGTCATACAAATTAATTTTTTTCAATAATACTAACATTATTAAGTCATTAAATGGATAAAGATTCGAGTATTCTGTGTGTAAGAAAAATATATGAGATGTGAGAATATTATAGGCGTTTTCTCCTGGATGTTAACTCTCATTTTTTGAGTTGGGATTTCTCACATAAATATTTTTCTTGGTAAACTTGAAGTATATTGGAAGAAATTGTAGTAAGACGTCATTCTGAATCAGCATATATTTTTTTTCCAATACTTTGCATATCATTTATTTGTTTACGATTTATATAGCTAATGTTAGAAGATAGAAGATAATATTGATAACTGGTTCAGAACCAACAAGTTGATAAATTAGTCACATGTACAACACTTGGGTATCTCTATTGTTGAAACGTTTCGCCACATAGTGCCTTCATCAGTCCAGTACAAAGAAGAATAGTAAAGATCAAAAGGAGATTGAGGTAATCAGTCCCTCAACCAGGAGTCGATATAAGCATTCCATCAATCTTGGTCAAGATTGATGGAATGATTACCTCAATTTCCTTCTGATCTCCACTATTCTTCTTTATACTAGACTGATGAAGCCACTGTGTAGCGAAACCCTTCCGAAGTAAAGATTCCCAAGTGTAGCACGTGTGTCTAATTTAATATCTAGAAGATAATACTCACGGCTGAGAACGACCAACAGGAGCCACAACGACCCTGGTCCTTGACTGGCGTCACAGCTCCTTTATCCCTCCAGTCAACACTCTCTGGCATGATAACATCATCATCCGGTACAATGAATGTTGCACCAGTGTACGGCGGAGTGCCCATAGTCTCGCCAGTACGGTTATAGATAAGCCCATTCATTGTCGAAACAAATTCTTGATGGAGCTGCCCACCCAAAAAAAAATGCAAATTGTAAATAGGCTCCGGTGTGGTTTATATAGACATTTTAAATGTGTGAAATTTAAGGAAAAAACTGATCCAGCTTAATTTCCCCACTTCTGTAATTCAAGTACATGAAAAAAAAGTAAGAAAAATTATGATGTGTGATAATTATATTTAAATGTACAAAGTTCAGTTGAATTGAGAAAAGACAAAAAAAAGTTTTCAAAGAGAAAGTGATGGAACAAAGAGAAAGTGATGGAACAAAGAGAAAGTGATGGAACAAATGGAAAGTGATGGAACAAAGAGAAAGTGATGGAACAAAGGGAAAGTGATGGAACAAAGAGAAAGTGGTGGAATAAAGAGAAAGTTATGGAACAAAGAGAAAGTGATGGAATAAAGAGAAAGTGGTGGAATAAAGAGAAAGTGATGGAACAAAGAGAAAGTGATGGAACAAAGGGGAAGTGATGGAATAAAGAGAAAGTGATGGAACAAAGGGAAAGTGATGGAACAAAGAGAAAGTGATGGAACAAATGGAAAGTGATGGAACAAAGAGAAAGTGATGGAATAAAGGGAAAGTGATGGAACAAAGAGAAAGTGGTGGAATAAAGAGAAAGTTATGGAACAAAGAGAAAGTGATGGAATAAAGAGAAAGTGGTGGAATAAAGAGAAAGTGATGGAACAAAGAGAAAGTGATGGAACAAAGGGGAAGTGATGGAATAAAGAGAAAGTGATGGAACAAAGGGAAAGTGATGGAATAAAGGGAAAGTTATGGAACAAAGGGAAAGTGATGGAACAAAGGGGAAGTGATGGAACAAAGGGAAAGTGATGGAATAGAGAAAGTGATGGAGCAAAGGGAAAGTGATGGAACAAAGGGAAAGTGATGGAACAAAGGGGAAGTGATGGAACAAAGGGAAAGTGATGGAACAAAGAGGAAGTGATGGAACAAAGGGAAAGTGATGGAATAGAGAAAGTGATGGAGCAAAGGGAAAGTGATGGAACAAAGGGAAAGTGATGGAACAAAGGGAAAGTGATATATCTAACGACTAACATAATTAAGGTAAGTCTATAAAATGATCTAGTTTTATGAACACCAAAACTAAGTTAGATCACGTATATAAACAGTCACAATAAACAATAACTCGTACTTAGCAGAGAGCAACTTACGACCAGGTATCAGTCCGACTTGGACCATTTACGAGTCGGACCGAGAGGTCGTAGTAAGCTCCTCTCTCATGTGCGGGTTAGTTGCGTATTAGACCGTGTATAATATTTTTTTTTCTCTTACCATGTCTCCGTATTTGTTCATACCAAGTTTGAACGACTTGACTCCCGTAGCATACAACTTATTGTGAGCAGCGATCCTGCGCTTGTTCTCCGTGAAAATCTTCATGCGGAAGGATTCCTCGACTTCATTTTCGTATGTCTTGCCGTGTTCAAGCTAGAAATATAATTACGCTTAATTCACTCGTGTCCATAAACATTGTTACTTATTAACATTATGAAAACTGTTAACAACACTGGTTGTAACCTATATATATATATATATATATATATATATATATATATATATATATATATATATATATATATATATATATATATATATATATATATATATATATATATATCTGACCAGCCAGGCTGTGGTTCGTACGTTGGATTGCGTGCAGGCAGCAGTAACAGCCTGGTTGATCAGGCTCTGATCCACCATGAGGCCTGGTCACAGACCGGGCCGCTGGGGCGTTGAACCCTGGAACTCTCTCCGGGTAACTTCTCTCTCCAGAGAGGCTGAGGGATTGAACCTCTTTTAGAGAGGCTCAGGGATTGAACCTCTTCTAGCTAGACTCAGGGACTGAACCTCTTCTAGCGAGGCTCAGGGATTGAACCTCTTCTAGCTAGACTTAGGGATTGAACCTCTTCTAGCGAGGCTCAGGGATTGAACCTCTTCTAGCTAGACTCAGGGACTGAACCTCTTCTAGCGAGGCTCAGGGATTGAACCTCTTCTAGCTAGACTCAGGGACTGAACCTCTTCTAGCGAGGCTCAGGGATTGAACCTCTTCTAGCTAGACTCAGGGACTGAACCTCTTCTAGCTAGACTCAGGGACTGAACCTCTTCTAGCAAGGCTCAGGGATTGAACCTCTTCTAGCTAGACTCAGGGACTGAACCTCTTCTAGCGAGGCTCAGGGATTGAACCTCTTCTAGCTAGACTCAGGGACTGAACCTCTTCTAGCTAGACTCAGGGACTGAACCTCTTCTAGCTAGACTCAGGGACTGAACCTCTTCTAGCTAGACTCAGGGACTGAACCTCTTCTAGCGAGGCTCAGGGATTGAACCTCTTCTAGCTAGACTCAGGGACTGAACCTCTTCTAGCTAGACTCAGGGACTGAACCTCTTCTAGCTAGACTCAGGGACTGAACCTCTTCTAGCTAGACTCAGGGACTGAACCTCTTCTAGCTAGACTCAGGGACTGAACCTCTTCTAGCGAGGCTAAGGGACTGAACCTCTTCTAGCGAGGCTAAGGGACTGAACCTCTTCTAGCTAGGCTCAGGGACTGAACCTCTTCTAGCTAGGCTCCGGGACTGAACCTCTTCTAGCTAGGCTCAGGGACTGAACCTCTTCTAGCTAGGCTCAAGGACTGAACCTCTTCTAGCTAGACTCAGGGACTGAACCTCTTCTAGCTAGACTCAGGGACTGAACCTCTTCTAGCTAGACTCAGGGACTGAACCTCTTCTAGCGAGGCTAAGGGACTGAACCTCTTCTAGCTAGGCTCAGGGACTGAACCTCTTCTAGCTAGGCTCCGGGACTGAACCTCTTCTAGCTAGGCTCAGGGACTGAACCTCTTCTAGCGAGGCTAAGGGACCGAACTTCTTCTAGCTAGACTCAGGGACTGAACCTATTCTAGCGAGGCTAAGGGACCGAACTTCTTCTAGCTAGACTCAGGGACTGAACCTCTTCTAGCGAGGCTAAGGGACTCAAAACCATAAAATCACCTCTCCATTTCTTCCATTGTCTCACGAATAAAAGTCGTCACTCTATTCAACTGATGAAGCCTGCTACGCAGGCGATAGTTTTCAACAGTAAAACCATCCCAGAGTTACACATGCGTCTTTTTCATCAAGTTGTCGATATTGTGCACCATTAAAATAATGATATTACGTTGTTATAGTTGTCTATGTGAAATTATTCTATAATTTACCTATAACCCCGATTATTTGCAAATTATGCAATAATTTTATAAATAACTTTGTTATCAAGCGTACAATAGCATGGGCCAGTAGGCCTTCTGCAGTGTTCCTTCGTTCTTATGTTCTTATGTTCTTATATATATTTAATATATTGCAAGATGTTAGATGATAAATTAGACACATGTGCAACCTTGAGTCGATGTGTTCAGTCCATCAAGACTGATGGACTGAACACATCGACTCAAGGTTGAGGGACTGATTACCTCATTCTCCTCCTGTTCTTCAAGTTTCTCCTACGTATGGACTGATGAAGCCACTGTGTGGCGAAACGTTTCCTCAATAAAGATACCCAAGAGTTGCACATGTGTCTAATTTATCAACATGTCGGTTCTCTGAACCATTCATCTATAAAGATGTTAGATGTTAGGAAGCGTAAATAATAATAATAATAATAATAATAATAATAATAATAATAATAATAATAATAATAATAATAATAATAATAACAATAATAATAATAATAATAATAATAATATTATTATTATTATTATTATTATTAGTAGTAGTAGTAGTAATAATAATAGTAATAGTAATAGAAATAGTAATAGTAGTGGTAGTAGTAGTAGTGGTAGTAGTAGTAGTAGTGGTAGTAGCAGTAGTAGTAGTAGCAGTAGTAGTAGTAGTAGTAGCAGTAGTAGTAGTAGTAGTAGTAGTAGTAGCAGCAGTAGTAGTAGTAGTAGTAGTAGTAGTAGTAGTAGCAGTAGTAGTAGTAGCAGTAGTAGTAGTAGTAGTAGTAGCAGTAGTAGTAGTAGTAGTAGTAGTAGCAGTAGTAGTAGTAGTAGTAGTAGCAGTAGTAGTAGTAGTAGTAGTAGTAGCAGTAGTAGTAGTAGTAGTAGTAGTAGCAGCAGTAGTAGTAGTAGTAGTAGTAGTAGTAGTAGTAGTAGTAGTAGTAGTAGTAGTAGTAGCAGCAGTAGTAGTAGTAGTAGTAGTAGTAGTAGTAGTAGTAGTAGTAGTAGCAGTAGTAGTAGTAGTAGTAGTAGCAGTAGTAGTAGTAGTAGTAGCAGTAGTAGTAGTAGTAGTAGCAGTAGTAGTAGTAGTAGTAGCAGTAGTAGTAGTAGTAGTAGTAGTAGTAGTAGTAGTAGTAGTAGTAGTAGTAGTAGTAGTAGTAGTAGTAGTAGTAGTAGTAGTAGTAGTAGTAGTAGTAGTAGTAGTAGTAGTAGTAGTAGTAGCAGTAGTAGTAGTAGCAGTAGTAGTAGTAGTAATAGTATACACACAGGTACATACATACAACACAGACAAACTGCATCTCACCTTAAAAGCTTCCCATTCGTCCAGCACGACAGAGAAGAAAGACACTGCTGATGCTGAAGCCAGAACAGCTACCACCACTGATGCTGTCAAACACTTCATCTGTTAGAGAAACATTTGTCAGCAACACTAAATCGTCATAACAGAAAAATAATAAGATTTTTCTTAATTATTCGTCATATTTTAACGGTAAACCAATAAGACAGTATGTCCCTGGTGGGCGAAATGTTGAAGCTGTGTCTCGCTCAATAACTTGTTAGTATCACATAACTTTGCTCTAGTTATCAATTGACGTCAATAAAGGGCTAAGAAAAGCTAAGAGAGATAATGAAATGAAAGTGGCTAGGAAATTTTTTGGGCCAATCCTAATATTTTCACTCAGGTCTTTTTGAGTGCTAGTAACCTCTGGTTATGAGGATGCTCCAATTTTTAAAAACTGATTTAGTAATATACACAGTAATATACGCGGTATTTATTACCAAGGTTTATACCACAGTTTTGTAATACATGTGAAAGACAGCTGACAGAGAACCTGCATGTACACGCACACCACACAATTGCATTAATTAAGATTCCATTTCCAACTATCCCACAAACATGAAAGTAAACCACTCGATGTCTTTGTTATTGCTGGTATGTTTGTCATGGGTAACCTTTGCTTTCTTCAGTGGTAATTGTGTTAACCTATTATCTTACTCGTATCAAACACACATCCAAAACAAAATAGACTTACTCTCGATATCTGTGACTCCCCCTAATTTACATAAACTTCCGAATATAGCTACTGCCTAATAAATCTTAAGTCAGTTCTAAGTTTGCTTGAAATACCCCAGTACAGGAGATTTAATAGAAACTGTGTATCATACAAGATAAAACCATTCTCATTACTAAACTTACTAATTGTTATGTTCTTAAATGTTTGGAACTGCCTCCACAACCTGTGTCAATATAGAGTAAGAAATAGTATTAATCTGCCTGAAATGGCCAGGCATGCTAGTGGCCTTCTTGATAATTAATATTTTATATGAAAACCACACATTGTAATTAATATTTTATATTATATAAATCCCACATTGTAATCTTTACAGAAAAATAAACATTTCGATTTCAATCGAGCGCCTCTAGCAGTTCGGAACACTCCAAGCCTAGCAATCCTCCGGGTCAGAGACCCCCCGTCATTATACTGTTTACTTTTGCAATAGATACCTAACTCTATCACCCATCTTCATTATACTATTATGATGATTTTTCCTTAATATGAAAAATCATCGGGAGCAAATCAAACTCTCTCAACCTTCATGTCACAGAGAGACAGGTGAAAATAAAAGAGTAGCGACCACTGACTCATGGGAGCTGGACGCAGTGGCAGGACGCAGGCAGGAGAAGGTTTCGGGGTCAACGCCCCCGCGGCCCGGTCTGTGACCAGGCCTCATTGGTGGATCAGGGTCTGATCAACCAGGTTAATGAAGTTTGTGAGTGTCGCAGCTTCTCGTAGCCAGACATTAATTGTCTTTACCTGTGGATAAGTGACCCAACACACAGGTGTACAGGGCTACTTCAATCAAATTGACTATTGTGGAGGACACTTGTGTACAGCTCAGGCCATTTAATAACTGTACACAAGTGATCACTATACCACTTTACCAACCTTAGTACATGTACTACAACAACTTGAGTCTCTCACCTTAATTGAAGTTTTCGTGCCAGTAATGTGAGAATCTCATACTCTTTTTACCCTTATATAGGCCTACCAGAGGCTGGGAAAAGTTATCGTTTCCCCACTGAACTTCTCACTGCCGCTGTATATTTAACTAAGTTACCCTCTGCATTGCTCAACTGCATCATAGTTTGACCTTTTAAAGTGGTACATCAAATAAACGAGCTATCGCTTGCAAAATTCATCGTGATGTCTGGCAGAGGGGAAGACACAGGTAAGGATGAGTATAAGTCACATGACCCTGAACCACGTGACTCAGTGTTTATTTCCCAAAGTTATGACGGGACTTGTGACCCTCTGATAACACTCTTAAAGGAACGATAACAGATTAGATAGACTGGAAGAATATAATGGAATTGATATTTATTTATGGCTATTACCTCGGTTATTAGTTTTTCTCTGTCATGCAGATAACTCATAATTATGAATTATTATGATTCAGATTCAGATGTGAGTTTAAATCTATCATCACTAAGGTTATTGAGAACATACGGATAAACGAGTGTGGCTGTAGGCCTACGGCTCGAGGCTAGGCAGGTCAGACTCAAATATTCAAACTCTAGTTCAAACTGGACAAATCAGGGTTTTGAATAAACAGAGACAGGAAAATACTAGGTTGGTGACTAGACACTCGTGCAACGTTTTAAATTTATAATTTCGCTCGTCAGCAGATATAAAGCTTGACGAAACCCCTGACAAGTGAAACAGAGCAACGTAAATATTTTAAACGTTGCATGTGACTTTATTTTTAATTAAATTGATTGTCGGTAGATATGGGGCGAGTTAAAGAGGCATATATTTAACAAATGTACGAGTGAATGAGAAAGACGTACCTAGCATGGGCTGGTAGATAGATCAAAATGGCATACAATACCGACAAGTTGGTAAGTAAGACACATAGGCAACATTTAGGCAACTTTATTCTGAAACGTTTCGTTTACACAGTAGACTTCTTCAGTCGAGTACAGAAAGTTGGCAGGAACAGTAGAGATGTGAAGACGATGTAATCAGTCCATCACCCTTGAAGATGTACATTTGAGGCTGTCAGTCCCTCAGCCTGGAAGAGTTGTTTCATAATCTGAAACAATATGATGAACCAAACAAACTTATATACTGTAGGAAGGAGAAAATGTAGTCACTAAGAGGTCACGTCCCTCTCAGATCCTATAATAATTCTTCGAACTATAGACCAATAAGCCTTACCTCCATAGTGGGAAAAATTTATGGAATCAATAATTGTCGAAGCAATTCGTAGCCATCTTGATAGGCACAGATTGATTAATGAATCTCAACACGGTTTTACAAAGGGGCGTTCCTGTCTGACGAATTTACTAACTTTTTTTACTAAGGTGTTTGAGGAGGTAGATCATGAGAGTTTGCATAAATGGGGAGAAATCAGAATGGGGGCACGTCGCAAGCGGTGTTGTTCACAATCTACATAAACGACAGAGATGAGGGAATAAATAGCGACATAAGCAAATTTGCTGATGACACCAAAATAGGCCGTCCAATTCATTCTAATGATGACACTAGAGCACTCCAGGATGATTTGAATAGACTGATGCAATGGTCGGAGAAGTGGCAGATGCAGTTTAATATTGACAAATGCAAAGTTCTAAATGTTGGACAGTTAAATAACCATTAGTGTTCGCAATAAAGCTAACAGAATTCTTGGCTTCATATCTAGAAGTATAAATAATAGAAGTCCTCAGGTTGTTCTTCAACTCTATATATCCTTGGTTAGGCCTCATTTAGACTATGCTGCTCAGTTCTGGTCACTGTATTAAAGAATGGATGAACATCAAAATGGTATACAATACCGACAGGTTGTTAGGTAAGACACATATGCAACAGTTAGACAACTTTATTCCGAAACGTTTCGCCTACACAGTAGGCTTCTTCAGTCGAATACAGAAAGTAGGCAGGAACAGTAGAGATGTGAAGACGATGTAATCAGTCCATCACCCTTAAAGTCGTAGACTTTGAGGTTGTCAGTCCCTCGGCCTGGAGAAGTTCAGTTCCATAGTCAGGAACTATCTGAACTTCTCCAGGCCGAGGGACTGACAACCTCAAATTCTACGACTTTAAGGGTGATGGACTGATTACATCGTCTTCACATCTCTACTGTTCCTGCCTACTTTCTGTATTCGACTGAAGAAGCCTACTGTGTAGGCGAAACGTTTCGGAATAAAGTTGTCTAACTGTTGCATATGTGTCTTACCTAAAGAATGGATACAAATGCTCTGGAAAACGTACGGAGGAGGATGACAAAGATGATCTCATGTATCAGAAATCTCCCCTATGAGGATAGACTGAGGGCCCTGAATCTGCACTCTCTAGAAAGGCGTAGAATTAGGGGGGATATGATCGAGGTGTATAAATGTAAAACAGGAATAAATAAAGGGGATGTAAATAGCGTCTGAAAATTTCCAGCCAAGACAGGACTCGCAGCAATGGTTTCAAGTTGGAAAAATTCAGATTCAGGAAGGATATAGGAAAGCACTGGTTTGGTAATAGAGTTGTGGATGAGTGGAACAAACTCCCGAGTACAGTTATTCAGGCCGAAACGTTGTGTAGTTTTAAAAATAGGTTAATTACATGAGTGGGTGTGGGTGGGTGTGAGTTGGACCTGGCTAGCTTTTGCTGCTGGGTCTGGTGCCGTGCTCCTTCCTTGAGTGAAGGTGACCAGACTGGGTGGGTCATTGGGCTAATCCGGACCTGCTCCGCATGGGTCAGTAGGCCTGTTACAGTGTTCCTTCTTTCTTATGTTCTTGAAAAAGTTGTCCAAGATGCCATTATGTTGCAGTGTCTGATAGTGAATATCAAAATGGCATACAATACCGACAAGTTGGTAAGACACATAGGCAACATTTCGCCGAAACGTTTCGCCTAGTAGGCTTCTTCAGCCGAGTACAGAAAGTAGGCAGAGGGACTGACCACCTCAAATCTACATCTGCAAACGTGATGGACTTATTACATCGTCTTCACATCTCTGCTCCTCTTACCTACTTTCTGTACTCGACTGAGGAAGATTTAGGGTAAATTTTTCAGAATTTAGAAAGAAGGGAAGCATTACTGGTCTGCTTCAGACAGAAGAAGGTAACAGATAGATGCAGCATTATTGTGCTGTGAATAAACCATACCCCCGGCCGGGATTGAACCCGCGGTCATAGAGTCTCAAAACTCCAGCCCGTCGCGTTAGCCACTAGGGCTGGCTAACGCGACGGGCTGGAGTTTTGAGACTCTATGACCGCGAGTTCAATCCCGGCCGGGGGTATGGTTTATTTGCAATCGTGTCATTACGATTTCTTGAGTCTTGTGCTGTGAATCTTTGCAATAACAGTTTAAAAATATAGCTTAAAAAATATTTTAAATAAAAAAGATTAGTCATGCTCATTTTTCATTTGATTAATATCATACAAAATAAAAGGTTAATCTTGTTATCTGTTATTGCAAAGAGCCATTGAAACAGTCTGTTACCTTCTGTATACCATAGTCAGGGGTTTAAGTTAGTCTCGTTGAAATAAGTAACTGGAAGGAAGTTGATTTGCTACATATTACGATATATGAAAATTGAGTGAAAAGAGCATGAAGGAGCCCAAAACTTTACGTTCAGTCTGTGTGACTTTATATATTAACGAAACTTGTTCATACGGGACCAAATACTCAAGAGGGTTGGAAACGGTATGTTTAATAACCCAAAAAGAATACAAGTGTTAACTCTATTAACGTTTATTGAAATTTTCATCCAGTTATCAACAGATGTCATATTTCCAGTGCTCTAGCGTCTCTACTTGTTTTATACAAGAGGATAGGAAGCAGCAGTAGCAATGCCACACTGATTATTATGATTGCGAATCATCTTTAAGTAGCCTATATCACCCCATGTGGCGCCCCAGGAGTTCTTGACCAGCCAGTAGTCAGTGCCATCCTCAGTAGTGCCATAACCAACAACCAGAACACCGTGGTCCAGGTAGGTGGAGCTACAATCTGCTTCATCGTAAACACCTGGAAAGTCAATAAATTAGTCATTTATCTATATACCTGGTAAGTTATGATAGGATATATCTGCCTATTTATATATCGACAAGCTGAAGTATTTATATTATACATATATTCTTTACTGGTGGTGTCAAAGTTAGAGTGTGTTGTATTACTTAACGATCCTAGTAACTGATAATTAAATATATACACAAGATTCATACACCTAGAAGTGTATTTTCAAATAGACTTTAAACCTGTTTTATCAATCAAGCAATCAACAAAACTTACCATGACGGTAAAACTGAAACGAATCACGTGACGCATCAATGGCAACAGAAACAGGTCCAACAGTGGCCACAGCTTTCATCAACGCGTCTTCACTTCCCTCACTAATATCAACAAAGCCAGTGTCTTCAGCACCAGACTCACTGGCGTTGTAACAACACTTATTCTCCTGGTAAAGAAATTTGATTTCAAACATTACAGTGAGCTACATCATTTAATAAACATTAAAAGAATTTACGACAGGCAAATGAACAATTTGGTCAGCTTTTCAAAGTTGAATAAACGATTTCTGTCACTGTGTATTATAGTTATACTTCGCAATTGTATCAATAACATATCAAAATTAATACTACCATTTACCTTAGCTGTATACGGATATGCTTCCTCTGTGTCAATTCCACCATTGTCCTTAATGTACTGGAAAGCGTAGTCCATAAGTCCGCCATCACAGCCACCATTACCATACTTAGCTGAACAGTCAATCAAGTTCTGCTCAGAGAGGCTTACTAGTTGACCAGTCTTGCGGAAGTGTTGACCTTCCAGCGATCCAGTCTGTCGAGAATGTAAACATTGCTAGTTGAGTCTTGGATAACTCGGGTTACTAAAGTAACTTTACTGAAAAATAAGGTTAATATAAAACCAATACAAAAATTAGTAGTAGTGGAGTCAAAGACTAAGAAAGAGGAGCACTGCAAGTAAGCTAGGGGCCCAAAAGTAAGCTAGGGGCCCACAAGGAAGCTAGGGGCCCACAAGAACACAGAGGGGAAAAATAAAAATAATGGACCAAATGCCTAAGGCAAAAGAAATAAAAACCAAAGGAGAAAGAGGAAGGAGGAAAGGGGAAAAGGGGGAAACAAGAATAGGTTAAGTCACGGGCGTTCTGAGGGAGGATTTAACCAGACGGCGACTGTGAAAGTTAGAAGTAGGGTAGACAGTTTTAGCAGAAGACCAGTAAATAGGATGACTGTGATCTCTGACATGACGGAAAAGAGCATTGTTGGTGTCGGCAAGTCTAACACTACTTTTGTGCTCCCTGAGTCTGTCAGAAAGAAAACGGCCAGTTTCTCCAAAGAAATAGAGTAGACACCAGGAGATAAGATAAGATAAGATTTCGTTCGGATTTTTAATCCCCGGAGGGTTAGCCACCCAGGATAACCCAAGAAAGTCAGTGCGTCATCGAGGACTGTCTAACTTATTTCCATTGGGGTCCTTAATCTTGTCCCCCAGGATGCGACCCACACCAGTCGACTAACACCCAGGTACCTATTTGCTGCTAGGTGAACAGGACAACAGGTGTAAGGAAACGTGTCGAAATGTTTCCACCCGCCGGGAATCGAACCCGGGCCCTCCGTGTGTGAAGCGGGAGCTTTAGCCACCAGGCCACCGGGCCACCAGGAGAATCTATAGAGGGAAGAAAGGTATACTAGATTGGTGCGAAGAGTGTTAGTCTGGCGAAAAGTAAGTTTGAGTTGTTGAGATTAGAAAGACTGGAAATATAGGGAAGGCAGAGGACATGAGAGTTCCCAGGAGTAAAGAGTCTGGGAAAGAAGAAAGTCCATTTAACACGTGAGAAGGCAGAGTCTATGAATGGGGAAGGGTAGCCAAAACGGGAAAATGAATTACTGAGTTAAAATTTCTCTTTCAAGGAAGAGCACGGAGAAAGAGGGAGATAACACTTTTCTTGGCAGGGGAAGCATGATAAGAAAAGTAGTGAATGTACATGCCACTGTGCATAGGTTGGCGGTAAACGGAAAAATCAAAACCTGTATCTGAACGGTGGACATGAACATCAAGGAAAGGCAGCAAGGAATTATATTCGCATTCAGTTTTAAACTTAATGGAAGTGGCAATCAAGAAATGGTTGAAAGAGACTAGAGTCATGTGGCCAAAAATGTCATCTACATATCGGAGCCAGAGACAAGGACGCACATCAATAGTAGGAAGTATTCCATGTAGAGATTAGCAAGAACAGGAGAGCCCATAGCGACACCAAAGATTTGAGAATAATATTTACCTTGGAAGAAAAAGGAATTTGAGTCCAAAGGCGAATAAGATCAAGAAAGACATCAGTAGGTATAGGGAGACGAAGTAACCCTTCATTGGCCTTCTCTCTGAGAAAATTAAGGACATCATCAAGAAAGACATTGGTGAAGAGGGACTCAACGAGAGAGCGAACACGTTCAATGAAGTTTTGAGAGTGACGGTGGGCAGGAGAAAAAGTACCAAAAAGGGGTGAGGGTTTTGGCCACCAAGAAGCAAGAGACAGTGCCCACTGGGCACTCCCTTTCCTGATCATTCCCGTCTCCGTCAACGTCAACGTGTTCTCTCTGCTTCTCTTCCACAAGATGTCTGTAACTTTCTCACTACCATTGCTTCTGACACTGCTCGCCAGAAATCACAAATTCATTCTTCTAAACTACAGAATAAACTTCAACGTCTCATCTCAGCTAGCCCTTGGTCTAAATTCTCCCTTACCAACTGTGTTACCAATCTGTCTTCTGTCTCGCTCTCTCAACATGAACTTGAACTTCTTGATTTTGGTCTTTCCTTTGCCACTTCACTACTTTTCAAGGAAAGTACTGGTTTGGTAATAGAGTTGTGGATGAGTGGAACAAACTCCCAAGTACCGTTATAGAGGCCAGAACGTTGTGTAGCTTTAAAAATAGGTTGGATAAATACATGAGTAGATGTGGGTGGAGGCCAGAACGTTGTGTAGCTTTAAAAATAGGTTGGATAAATACATGAGTAGATGTGGGTGGGTGTGAGTTAGACCTGATAGCTTGTGCTAACAGGTCGGTTGCCGTGTTCCTCCCTTAAGTCAATGTGACCTGACCTGACTAGGTTGGGTGCATTGGCTTAAGCCGGTAGGAGACTTGGACCTGCCTCGCATGGGCCAGTAGGCCTTCTGCAGTGTTCCTTCGTTCTTATGTTCTTATGTTCTAATGTACATGTTCTTATCTCCTTCTTTCCCCGTGCTCTCCGCATTTGTGAACCTCAGTTCCTTGAAACTGAAATTTTAACTCAGTAATTCATTTTCCCATCTTGGCTACCCTTCCTATTTCATAGACCCTGCTTTCTCACGTGTTAAACGGACTTTCTTCTTTCCCAGACTCTTTACTCCTGGGAACTCTCATGTCCTCTGCTTTCCCTATATTTCCAGCCTTTCTAATCTCAACAACTCTCTCCATTCCTTAGATATCAAACATACTTTTCGCAAGACTAACACTCTTCGTGCAAATCTAGTTCATACCTCTCCTCTATAGATTCTCCTGGTGTCTACTCTTCAGTACTTTGGAGAAACTGGTCGTTCTCTTTCTGACAGACTCAGGGAACACAAAAGTAGTGTTAGACTTGCCGACACCAACAATGCTCTTTTCTGTCATGTCAGATATCCCAGTCATCCTATTGGCTGGTCTTCTGCTAAAACTGGTTGAATCCTCCCTTATACACAACTTTCCTTGTATGAATCTTAGTCCTGGATTTATCTCTGTAGATGCCTTCCTTTCCGATTACATTGTAAAATTCTCCAAACTTCAGAACAACCGTGACTTAACCTGATTCTTGTTCCCCCCTTTCATCTTCTGCCTTGGGTATTTGGTCCATTATTATTATTTCCCCCCACCCCTCTGTGTTCTTGTTCCTACCCTTGCAGTGTTCCTCTTTCTTAGTCTTTGACTGACTCTACCACTACTTCTCATCTTCCACTACTACCTCTTTTGTCCCGTCCCTGTCTGCTGGCCTATATATACTCCCTCCTTATCTCCTTTCTGTTAGTGTGACTTTGTAAACGGTCCAAGTCGGACTGAAACGTCGTCGTAAGCTCCTTTCTCCTATGCTCGGGTTATTTGTGTATTGTTCCAGTCATTGCATTATGCCTTTTTGTTATTTATATTTTAAATAAAATATTGAAGTGCAATATTGTTGTTGCAAAATACTCACAGCTGAGAATGACCAACAGGAGCCACAACGACCCTGGTCCTTGACTGGCGTCACAGCTCCTTTATCCCTCCAGTCAACAGTCTCTGGCATGATAACATCATCATCCGGCTCAGTGAATGTTGCACCAGTGTAGAGGCGGCCGGACTTGTAGTTACCAATGTGGTTCCACTGGAAACCATTCATTGTCGACACAAATTCATGATGAAGCTGAGAGGAAAATTACATTCAATTAAACAAACATAAAATTAGCTTAAATTAAACACAAAGTGTTTGTTATTTCATTCACATTGATAATATTCATTCATAAAATTGCAGCCTATCATAACTAATATTTTTTTTCTATTTTGAGATGGTGAAGTGTTTGGTAAGCAGGTTATTGTATATTACTAAGCTTGGGCTCATCACATTGTTCACTATACTTACCAAGTCACCATACTTGTTGATACCAAGCTTGTATGACTTGTGTCCTGTAGCATACAGTTTGTTGTGTGTGGCAATCCTGCGCTTGTTCTCCAGGTAGATCTTCATGCGGAATGATTCCTGGACATCGTTCTCGTAGGTTTTTCCATGCTCAAGCTGTGAAATATTATTAGGCTTTATTTCTAGCAAGGAATGATTCTAGACTTCACCTTACCAAACAGACAAAGCAAATGCGAGAGTAATTATAGTTAGAAGTTTAGTTTTTAGTTTAATATGTTTATTATGCACCCCATACCCATCCTGTGGGCGGTAGTCAAAAGATTACAGAGGTACATAATTGGTCCAGGGACTGGACTCCAAAGTTTTGATAGCTGAGCAAGTTACAGAGGTAATGAACTCACAATTTACAAAGGTAATGAACTCACAATTTACAAAGGTAATGAACTCACAATTTACAAAGGTAATGAACTCACAATTTACAATGGTAATGAACTCACAATTTACAAAGGTAATGAACTCACAATTTACAAAGGTAATGAACTCACAATTTACATATATATAGTTAGAAGACAGTGGTACTTATGTGCCCCTTAAAAGCATCCATGTAGGAATGTGACTCCTTACCTTGAACGCTTCCCACTCTTCCAAGACGACGGAGGTGAAAGACATTGGTGACACTGAAGCCAGAACTGCCACCAACACTGATGCTGCCAAGCACTTCATCTATTGAGAACACATACAAAAAAATGTGAGGAAACAGAAATATAAATACCTAAACCAGCTTCACTGTATCTTATTTTATTAAGAAAGCTTACTGTGCAGGCGTAACTTATCTGAATAAAGATAATTATTGCACATGTGTCAACTTGTAAGTATTGTATATCATTATAACTTCCTCGTTACTTGTAAAGAAACATACGCCTAGATCCTCACTTTCCCAGGAGTCTTCACTGTCACAAAATATTGCAAGGGAATACTACAAGGGAATGAATGTGTGTGTGCTGCTTTCCTCTTTTATACCATTGCCAGCTGGGGGCGGAGCTAAGATATATGAACACAGTAGGCCTACTGGCTCAAACAAACAGGTCCTTTTTCAAATCTATCCCTCCTCGTATTTTTAAACCTATCCAAAGTTATAGCTTAAATATCCTACTTGGTAGATCGTTAATAACATAAGAATGAAGGAACACTGCAGCAGGTAAGACGAAGAGTGGGCCTTGTATGGGCTAGTAGGCCTTCTGTAGTGTTCCTCCATTCTATGTTCTTATGACATGATCGAAGTGTACAAGTGGAAGATGGGTATTAACAAAGGGGATATAAATAGGGTTTTGAGGATATCCCTTCAAGAAAGAACCCGCAATAATAGATTCAAATTAGATAAGTTTAGATTTAAAGGATATACGAAAGTATTGGTTTGGAAATAGGGTAGTTGATGAGTGGAAGTCTGCCTAGTAGAGTTATTGAGGTTAAAACCTTGGGTTGTTTCAAATTTAGGTTGGATAAATACATGAGTGAGAGGGGTTGGATTTGAGTGAGACTTGCACATGAGTAAATAGAACTATCAAATCTTATTGCTTGGGTAGCATTTGTTCTGTTAGTGGGTTGGATTTGTGAAGACCCTGCCTAGTATGGGCCAACAGGCCTACTGCAGTGTTCCTGCTTTCTTACGTTCTTATGAAACGTTTCGCCACGAGTGGCTTCTTCAGTCCTAATACAGAGAAACTAAGAAAACGAGTGTATATATAGTGGGAGGAGTGTCGCATGGGTAGGGGTAAAGTTGAAGAATTGAGACCTTATGAACACAGGGGAATTTTTTTGAAGAAAACTTTTCGCCACACATGGCTTTTTTTCAGCCCCAATACAAAGTAGAAAGGGGTAAGGAGATAGAAGTATGAGGAAATGCCCCTCAGGGATTCGATGTGTTCGTCCTCATCTTTGTGTAAGTGCAGCATGGGCCAGAGAGGTGCTTATATACTGCGGTGAGAGATTTAAAAGCAGGGGGAGGCGGGATCTTAGTGGGACCTGCCCTAATGAAGTGGGTCATCGAAAAGGGTTTTTGGGAAACGTTGAAGTTTTTGTACCAAGACCCATGATGTGCGTGTCTGACAGATGTGATAAATGGTTTTAAAAAACCGACAAGTTGAAGAATTGAGACACTTATGCAACAATGGGAATTTTTTATGAAGAAAACGTTTCGCCACACAGTGGCTTCACAGCCCAAACAAAGTAAAAATGGTAAGGAGAGTAGAAGTATAGGTAATCAGTCCCTCAACCGGATTCGATGTTTTAGTCCATCATCTTGTAGTAAGTGCAGCATGGCCAGAGAGGGGCTTAAAATTTGCGGTGAGATGATTTGAAGCGGAGGAGGCGGGATTTTGGGGGACCTGCCACAATGTAAGTAGGCATGCCAAAGGTTTGGGCAAGCGTTGAAGTCTTTGTCCCAAAAGATTCAGATGTTGCAGTTTTGACAGATGTGATGAATGGTTTTAAAAAACCGAAAAGTTGAAGAATTGAGACATTTATGCAACACATGGGAATTTGTGATGAATTTTTAGAGAACCGACTTTTGATAAATTAGACACATGTCAAACTTTTGGGACTTTATTGAGGAAACGTTTCGCCACACATGGTTTTCATCAGTCCTTACAAAGGAATCTTAAAAGAAAGGAGGAGAATGGGGTAATCGTCCCTCAACCTTGATCGATGTGGTCGTCCATCAATTTTAATAGAGGGAAACTGACCCATCGCTCAAGGTTGAGGGATGATTACCTCATTCCTCCTGTTTTTTCAAGATTTCCTTTGTATGGACTGATGAAGCCACTGTGTGGCGAAACGTTTTCAAAAAAGATACCCAAGAGTTGCACATGTGTTAATTTATCAAATGGGAATTTTATTAAAGAAACGTTTCGCCACACAGGGGTTCATCAGTCCAATACAAAGTAAAAGGGGTAAGGAGAAGTATGAGGTAATCAGCCCCTAAACCCCCTGGTTTCGATGTGTTCAGCCCATCACTCTTGTAGTAATGCAGCATGGGGCCAGAGGGGTGGTTTATATATGCGGGGTGATTAAAGCAGGGGGGGGGGATTTAGTGGGCCCTCCCACAAATGTAAGTAGGTCCACTAGATCCCCCCCTCCTCCTGCTTCAACTCTCTCACCGGTTATATAAGCCCCCCCTCTCCCCCTATGGAAACTTACTACAAGAGTGATGGATGAACACATCAAACCCAGGTTGAGGGACGTTACCTCATATTTTACTCTCCTTACCCATTTTCTTTGTATTGGGACTGATGAAGCACTATTGGCAAAGTTTTTCAATAAAGATTCCCATGTGTTGATAAGTGTCTCAATTTTCAATTGGGGTTTTCAAAACCTTTCAAAATCTGTCAGACCTGCAAACAGGAATTTTGGACAAAGACTTCACGCTTCCCCAAAACCTTGGACGATCCTACTTACATAGTGGTGAGTGTACTTAGCCAGGGGGGGCTTTTGTACTTAGCTCTCAGGGGTGCGTTATTAGCTCATGGTGCGTGTACTTAGCTCTGTAAGCCCTGTTTGTGTGCTCTTGAGTGGTGACCTTCTTGGTGCTGACCTGTACTTAACTCTGTGAAAAGTGTCTTGTTTGCCCCCGGGGACTGAACCAAGATGCCTCCATCGAGCAACTTTACCAGAAAATTAAGGAAAATGGAGGGCAGCAAAATGGAGTACGGCGACTAAAAAAGGGAAAACAAGAGGGGTTTTGTTAGCCTCCTTTTCGAGCCCCCCCTCAGGTCAAAAAAGGGATCGGGGTCAGTGGTTGGACACGGGGGGACGACAAAGTTGACGATCAAAAGACGAATGGGAAGCCAAAAACGATGAAGAAGAAAGAGATGTTTGGGGGAAACTCCCGGGGAAACCCCAACGCATTCTGGTGCTACCGACGAATTTTGAGTCTACTACGGGGATCGTCACGACGAACACAACAAGGAAGGTAAGAATTTGTTGTTTTTTGGGGATAGCCAGGTTAGATACTGGATGGGGCATTCTGTTTGAAGGACGGGGAGTAGGAGACAAAGGGTATGCTTTCCGGGGGCGGGGATGGGGGACATTGTTAGCCGGCTTGACAACACATAAACGGAATGGGATAAATCCTATTTTTTGCCTCAGTGCTGGGGGCAATGATGTTGGCAAGCGAGAAGTGAGGATTTATTTAAAAAAGTTCAGGCCCTATAGACATGTTTAAGAAAAAGGGGGGGCGCCCTGTTTTAGTGGCTTTTGCCAAGAAGAGGTGTTGTAATGAAGGTTGTCCAAAGAATTGGTATTAATTTTGGTGGATAAACACTGTAAGGATAATGCAGTCCCTTTCATTGACAACTGGACAACTTTATGGCCGAAATGACATGTATGCCAGGGGGGGGTTTTCACTTACCAGGGCAGTGTGGGTTTTCTTGCAACTCAGTGAGGGGTTGTTAGGACTTTAAACTAGGATTAGTTAAGGTAGGGTTTTTGCGGGAAAAACTGTGAAGTCGCGGGGGTAAAATTGAGTACAGGAGAAACTAGAAATAGGAAAAAATGAGGTGGTTTTTGGGAAAAGCCAGTGGCACTAATTGAAAGGACAGTAATAGGTTTAGTGGAATAATAAAAAAAGCAGGGGGGTTAAAAGAGAGGGGAGGGTCATTAAAAGTTTTTTACACAAATAGTCGCAGGCTGGAAAAAGAGGGACATTTGAGACTAGTTGCTAGGCGGGGAAAACATAGATGTATTTCCCATTACTGAGACGGGGGTTTAATTCAAAAAGCGGGACATCCTGCAGAATTTTAAATTTCAGGGTTTTAAATTTTTCCCAAGTAGACAGAAGAGGGGAAAGGGGGGGGGGGGTGGCTTGTATGCCGAGATCGCTTGAACTGTTGCTAAAAAAGGATTAAGTCTGAAGAACACATACAGAGTCTTTTGGGATAGAATTTTTTCAGAGGGGCATGAAAAATTAATTTTAGGTGTGTTTACCGCCCCCCAAATTTAATAGGGCCCAAAGGGGAGACAATATGGGGGGAAAAATTGTTGGGGCCCAAAAGGCACGTAATGTAGTAATTCTGGGAGATTTTAAACTTTAGTCATATTGATTAAAATTTTTTGAGGGAATTTAGAATCATAATTTCTTAGAAGATTTTAGGATTTTTTTTTGAAGCAGTTTGTGACAGAACCACAAAGGGGGAAAAAACCGCTTGATTTTCTGGCAAAAAATGAATCCCCTTTTAATAATTTTGAAGTTTCAGAGGAACTGGGGGCTACGCCAAAATCAATTACATTTTGAATTGAAGGAAGTATGATATAGGGAATCGTAACAGTCCCGTTTTCGCTTAGAGATTACGATGGGCTTTTGAGAAAAACTTATCTCTGTTGCTGGGGTAACGAAGAGAGCTATCAATATGCATTTTTTGACAAATACATGCTGTCAAAAAAGTTTATCCCTTAGGAAATTAGTTTTAAATAGAAATGACCCTAAATGGATGAATAATAGGCTGAATATTACTAGGGGTAAGAAAGGAAATTTTTAGGGGTTTAAAAAAAAAGGGGGGGGGGTCATCTTAGAAAACAGTATTTTGAATTAAGAGGGGCATTAAAAAGGGGGGTAAGAAAAGCTAAAAGGGGGCTATGAATTAAATTTCTGGGATTTTAAAACTAATCCAAAAAATTTTTTTTTCCCGGTAATAGAACAAAAAGTCAGAGATAAGATAGGTCCCCCTTTTAAAAAAAACTAGGGCCTTACTACAAAGAGAAAGAAATTGTGATTTTAAAAAATATTTTTTTTTCGGTTTTTCACAGGAAGACACTAAAATACCCCGGTAATTAATTTTTATAGTGGGTCAGAAGAAGATAATTAGTAAAATCACAGTCCTGTGAAATGGTTGGAAGCAGAAGACCGACTGAAGCAAAAAAAGTCACCGGGGGCCTATGAGGTTTTTTTAAGGGTTTTTAAGGAATGCAAAATGGA